ACAGCAGCTAGTGAATGAATAATATATATGTATATATACGATATACACAAGCCATGTGTAAATATGTTTAAATAGGCATACATAGTTTAGTTCAATTGAATGTGTTATTTATAACAATAGTAGTTTTTTTTCTTTTAAAAACATAACTATTTATAATGCTCCCTAAATAATAAGAAAATAAATTACAGTGAAAGCAATGAAGATTTTGTAGGTTTTGAACCAAACTAAATAACAGTAAACCTTTTTTGATTTACGGTATTTTCTTATTTTGATATTTTGAGCTCTTTTGTGTTTAGAACAATATATACTATTTTTTAAAGTATCAAATTGCATTTTTGTTCAATAAAAATCTTTCAAATGCGACTGTAGCTTTTTTTTTCCCCAGAACTTTGTCTTCAAAATAAGAGTGCATCTTATATTCCGAAAAATACGGTACTTGGTTTTGAGAAACAGCCAAAGGTGTACTAAAGGCTAGCATCATCATCAGGAGTGCAGTTAAATGTCAAAATGTATAGAGTGTATGAATCTGTTCCCAGTTTCACAGTATTTTATTTTTACACAGTACATTATTAAGTAAAACAACATTTTTTATTGTATTTTGAGACTTGGCACATTCTCATCTTAAATATTTATCCTATACTATTAAATGATGTTTTTATTTTTTAATACATCTGTCTTGGAAACTTACACAAGTGTCATCTTAATATTAATACTCTGCATTTGTTAGTAGAGTGAAATTTTTGTGTGGGGGGGCAGAATTATTGGGGCATGGAATTGGAATTTTTTTCTGTCTGATCATTGGACCTTTTACTTATAAATTTATCAGCCCTTGCAGGATCTTACCAAACCAAACAATATAATAATTTACCATAAAATTATGCATACTACTATTCTGCCTGGAAATATTACAGTTACAAAAACTTCTAAAAGGAGAGTTAGAAAATTCTGAATTGATAAAAAGTGAGAAGTTTGAAATTGCATGAAGTTTGGCATCTGTGGTTTGTCATAGTCATATTTACATGCTTATTATTTGGATGAGGTACTGTCAAAACTTATAATGTTTGTTTTGCTCTGGAAGTGTTTTTAAACTTTTTGAATCAACATGTGGAACATCCTTGAATAAGAATCTGAGAAACAAATTAATGCCTAAGTTAAGACAAAGTTTTCCAATGACTTATTAATCAGTATAACATTTGTTAAACCTTGTCAAAACACTACCCACAGGAATTCTGTAGTTGCAGTGATTATTTACTGCTAAAAATATGGAAATGACATTGTGGTAAGTTAAAGTATCAGTTATATCTAAAAGTCTGTTTTATCTGATGCTGTGATAACCATGTTGAAGAATTGCTAGTTTTTAACCTTGATGAATCATATTTCATTTTTAGCACAATAGAAGCATAAATCTTTATTTTTATTGTTTATTGTGCTTTGCAAGTATTAAACAGTTTTTACTAATCCTTCTTTCTTGTTAATTTCTTGCTGTGCATTACAATGTGAACTTAACATCATTATAAACAACTTTTCCCTTAGATAAGGTGTACCATTTAGATATATTTCATAAAGCTTAGCCTTCTTTTGGTGATGTAATAATAACAGTTAGTACTTTCACCATTTAACATAATATGCATCATTATTTTTGTTTTTAATATCATTCTGTGAGACCAAGCAGTCGTTTTCATTACAGTAACATTGTGAACCTTAAAATACAATAGTGAACAAATATATTTTAAAGGAAAAAATCAGAACTCAGGAAAAACTAAATTATCAGAGAAATTAATTGATTAATTTTTTTAAAAAGGTAACTTTATAGCATGGGCTACAATGAAGAAAGTGGCTAGACAGAAGCCACTTCTTAATCCAGGCTATATCATATGTGAGCATGAGTCAGCATCACAGATACTGCCACACCCTCCTGCCCTTTGGAACACTAATTTTTTTTCAATGATTTTAGATTTGCACAGTTCTTGAACAATGGAGACATTTGAATCTGATGGATATCCTCCCAGAAACTTTTGTTGAACCATCTACAAGCCAGGATAAAATGGCATTATTTGTGTTATGATGTGAGGTATCATTTGGGCAGCTAGATAGTCACAGCTGGTGATATTCAAAGAAATGTCTCCTGCTGATCAATACAACATAATTCTCAAGCAAGATATTCTACATCTTTATGTCAATGACCAACTTTCCAGACAAGGCAGTGTTTTCATGCGAGATGGGAGTTTACGCTCATTAAACTTAGGTCACTAAATAATGGCTTGAGTTTTGGGGCATTAACCACTCTCTCTTGCTTAGGTCAGTGGCCATATATGAAACCTGTTGAGGATGTGTGGTCTATCCTTGATAGCTCCTTGCTTATAAGGACACCCTCCTCCACTAAGTGGGTTGTAATATCCCACAGGCCCAGGTCTCAGTTCTTGTAAATATGATAATGATACTTTGGATCCTTTAATTCATGTTTGTTTATTTTATAAAAGAGTGTTCTTTCTGGAGAGTGTGTCTGTCAACTTACTGTTAGACTGTATACACATGTATTTTTGAAAGACATTCCTTATCCATAAAAATTGCCATGCTAATTCATTGTAATATGATAAATATGGTTAAAAAGACTTTTTCAAAAAAAGTTGATAAAAAATATACCTCTTAATTATTAGTGCCCACCAGTGCTTTAGGAAATACTATTCTAACGTGTTTTGTATTCTGGTGATCTCTCGTTTAGACAATCAAGATAATAGAAGGAAACACCTAATGGATAAAAAGTGTAATCAGTAATGTTTTTTTTTTTCATTTAATCAAACAATAGTGCCAAAAGAAAATAGTATTTTGTACTGTATTTTGTATATAACTGGAAACATTGTAGAAATTGAAAATATTTTGAGGTAGTTCTACTTTTTGTTTAATTTAGTTTTTACTTATATCCCAATATAATTTTTTTTATTCTGTAGATGTGCCCAGGAATTGCTGACATGTCAGACATGGACATCACCATGGATTCATTTGATACTTCTCAGAGCCAGTCGCAAGACTGTGACCCATCTCCACCTTTACCTCGTCAAGGCTCAAAGACTAACTTTTTTATGCCTGAAACACAGGAAACAGCCATGACGTCTCCTACTGCAGTTGGTTACCATGGTCAGTATGGTTCCAGTAGACCTGCTTACTCTTCTGGAGGTCCTCCCACTCCTAGAACCTTAAGAACAGTAGGAATTTTTGAAAATCGAGGGATCCAACTTGGAAGTTCCCATACAGCAGGTGTACTTCCATCTTCTAGATCTACTGTGAAACAATTGCCACTTTCAAGTCCAACAAGTAGTCTCCCTCCTCATTATAGTTCTTCAAGTAGACGAGCTAGTCCTGGCTCACCACCATCCCCTGGTTATTCTCCACCTGAAGGAAAACGCCACACTAGCCACCCTCCTCTTCCACAGCCAGTGTGCTATGGAATTGCAGGAAGCCGCAGCAGCTCAAGGAGTGTCAGTCCCAGCCGTAGGATGGTTTCTGAAATGGAGCTTGTGCGTGCAGCAGCTGATCAAGCTAATGGAAACTACCAACAGACTGGCAGTACTAGTAAGACTACTGCTAACTTTCAAGATCTTCCCAACTGTACTGTTTTGGCTCCTGCTTGGGGTAACAGTGTGCGACCAGGAGGTTACTCACGTTCATATCACAACTCTCGTGGGGAGCACAACTCTAGCTTGAAAGCATCCCTTTCTCAAAGCTCTGGATGGCCTGTGGCCAACAACTACTCTGGATTATATGGTCAGCGTCATCTTGTAGGTGCAAGTGGTTCTCCTCTTGTAAAACGGTCAGGGCTGGGAACCCCTGAAATGACTCGTTCACATGGCCGCAGACCCATGTCATTTGTGAAAGCTTTAGAAATGTCAGATTCTGATAGTGGCAAAGGAACAAGTACTCCTAAGCTAGAGCATCGTCAGGTGTTTCAAGGCCAGACCAGGCTCCACACTTCACCATCCCTTTCTACTCACCATAAATATACCCAGGACTTATCTGATGAACAGAGGAGTCAGTATGAAATGAATTATGAGATATCTGTTTGATGTGGAAATGGGCAAAGTTAAGAGATACTATTGTCAAGAACAAGTGGATGACTGCTAAGTGTTTTGATTCTGATGGTTGATCAAATGGTCACAGTGACAGACAGAGTTTGATAATATAGAGCCTGACCAGAGATGCTCATCACTTTGAATGAACTGATTCAGTTGTCTTGCTAGGATACTGAATTCTTAATAATATAATTAAGGTTAAAGTTTCATGAGGGCCTTTTGTGACCTACAAAAAAGTTTTATGAATAGTCTCATAGGTTTGTTAATTGATTGAAAACTATAAGAAGTATGTGTGCTTAAGGAACAATTTGATGTATATCTAGCTGTGTTTTCTATAAAAAAAAGAGATCTGTAGTTTGCTCATTTTAAGGCTAATGGCTACTAAAAAAATAAAACCATAGGCTATGTATCATATGTAACATTTTCAAAAACAAAACAATGAACAACTGAATAATCTGATCTGTTTTCTAAGTATGCTGTAAACTACCTTTAGAGAAATGAATGCTTTTTTTTAACAATAATGAAAAATGAAGTGTATCAGATTACTCGTGATGTTAAATATTCCAGTCAAAGTTTGATGATTGTTTTACCTAATTATTTGCTAGTTACATAAACCTAACAAAATCACTGTGAATGCTGTTTTAAGTTATTAGCAGTTCCATAATTCCAACCATACCAGATAAAATAATGTTTAATTTACTGATTAAATAAGTACAAGTAAAACACATTCAATACTTGCAACTGATTCATCAGGTGGAAAACGAAGTTTTATAATAAATATTAAAAACACAGTAATACCATAAAACATCTTTAATATGGAAGTTGCAGAATTTCCTTGAATTCCATCATCAGTATTAATATCTCAATAAATATTATTCGAACTACAAAAAAAAAAACATTAGCATTGAGCGAGTTTTCGTATTCAATGGAAGTTTAGAAAGAACAGATTTAAACGGTAACAATATAATGGAATGTACGATAAAACGTTCTGGGGCATACATGTTTAATACATAACATTGTTAATAGAAACTATTATAGATAAAGGTTTAAATATATGTATAAACACTGTATTTTTAAAATAATGTTAAATATCAATAAAAACACTGAGAATCCGGAATTGATTACATTAATGACAACAGGGGGGAATTTAATGTTGTTATTTAGTGTTGAGTGATCATTGAAAATGGAGAGGCTTATTTAATAAGAGTTCGTAATCTGTGGTTCCGGAGTCGAGAAATGTAAAGTTTTCTAGAAGTATGGGATGGTTGTTATTCTCACTGTGCAATCGAATACAAGAAGCTTTTTTAATTGGCCCTCAAGGACAATCACTTCATTTTTAATGGTTATCTTAATGACCAAATAGACGGAGTGGCGATGGGATCACCTCTATGTCCAACCTTTGCAAATATTTTTCTATGTTATTACGAACGTCTATGGCTGGATAATTGCCCCTTTATTACAAACCAGTATTATATAGAAGAAATGTTGATACTTTTATACTCTTATACATCACTGATCACGCCAAGAAGTTTTAAGAATACCTAAACTCACAACATCCATGTATAAACTTTACGTGTGAGAAGGAAGAAAATAATAACTTAGCTTTTTTAGACGTTCAAATAAACAATCTATTTGCCACAACTACTTACCGTATGAAAACATTTACTGACTTATACCACACTTTTCGACAGTTTCATACAAGACTCCTTCAAACATAACCTTGTTCTAAATCTTATAAACTGAGTGTATAGTATCTGTTCTGACTACTTCTATCTTCACTCGGAAATTTCAAAAATTCATAACATATTACAAAGTAATGGTTATCCCCTTAATTTATTACATTCTATCACACGAAAATTTTTTCGGAAATAGAACCTACCAAAAAGTTATTCACTGTCTCAAAATATCCACTATTTCATTGGCAAACAAATTTTGAAACTCAAATATAAAAATTCAAAAATAATCAAAACATATTTCCAACAAATTAAGCTACATTTAGTATTTACGTCAACATTTAGAATTAAAAAAAATTAAAACCAAAGAGACTATCCATTCCTATGCGCTCGTGGGCCGTATATTAATACATTTGTAGTAGCTATCAAGCTACCTATATTGGTAAAACTACACGTCACCTACAAATACGTGTACATGAGGGCGTGGGAGTTTCAGCAAGAAGCGGATGTAATCTACCCGAGTCTTGTATCCAATTGCGCAGTGAGAATAACAACCACCCCATAGTTTATAAAACTTTAAAATATTCCACTCAGGAACCACAGATTACGAATTCATTCTTTGTTGAAGAAAGCCTCTCCATTTTCAATGATCACCCAACACTAAATAATAACATCAACTCCTACCTGTTAACGTAATCAATTCCTGATTCTCAGTGTTTTTATTTGATATTTATTATTATTTTAAAGATACAGTGTTTATACTTATATTTAAGCCTTTCTCTATAATAGTTTCTCATAACAATGTTATTTATCAAACATGTATGCCCCAGAACGTTTTATCGTACATTCCATTATATTGTTACCGTTTAAATCTGTTCTTTCTAAACTTCCGATTGAATACGAAAACTCGCTCAATGCTAATGTTGATTTTTGTAGTTCGAATATTATTAACCAACTTTTTTTATATATATATTAACGCTGATGAGGGAATTTAAAAAAAATTCATAAACGTCCGTATTAAAGATGTTTTTTGGTATTACCGTGTTTTTAATATTTTTAGAAAACATTTAATACTGTTACGTCTCCGTTTGTTAATTAACTTTCCGTAACTTCGTTCCGCCAGTTTTATTAAGTAAGGACTTGTGTCGCTAAAGTTTCGTGTGTATCGTAAAGTTGTATTCGGAAAGAATAAATTATTTTCAACAATCACGCTAAAACAAACGCTATATCAACGAACGTCAATAATACTTCTGACTGCAGTTCAATTACTCACTATCTACACACACATTATTATTCCCCCGTCACGTTGTCACACTCTTTTATATACCAGACTACCCTATATCTAGTAAATACTAGAGCATTCGCCAAGGTACAGGATAGTTCTAGAAAATAGGTGGCGCCACACCAGTCACGTGACCTCGATGACGCAACAATATGAAACTTACTTTGCGAGCTTAATAAACACTCAAACTCAGTTTCAAAACAGAGGAAAAACTAGCCCGAATTCTATTTTGTTTAAACAATTGCATTGGGACTATTATAATAAAATTTTGAAATAAGTGATAATCCTTATGTTGAAATAACTTACAGGCTATTTTATAGGCTCTATTTTCAGTTATTTTGTGGAGATACCATGAACAAATGGATGAATCAATCAACAATTCGTTTCTTATATAATTCAGATATATTTCGCCTTAGATGGCGCTTAAGTTAGAATCGACATGGCTGCTGTTTTAGAAGATAAAGAGTTCACAGCAGAAAAAGCAAAGGGTAGTCGACTTTTCTTGTTTTTGACCTTATCATGAAGTTTTGTTTTTTATTTTAATGCTACATTTGTAGTGTGTTATTTATCTTTAAGTAAATAAAAGATCTCCTGTAAACTTTATGCTAAACCATAATGTTTAAAACTTCAGTGTAAACTGTAAACAGTAAAGTACGTTATAAACTTAGTTTAGACCGAGTTGTGTTGGAATTTGTGTTTTTCAGTCAATGACACTATTAAAATTTGTATAATTACAGTAAAAACATTAGCTAAGATAAGTACTAAGGATTGCTACAAATTCGGACTAAAGTTCAGTTAGACTCGATAGCGAGTCTAACGCACGTTCCTCATCCAGAATACCAGTTATTCTTGGATTGGTACGCCCTCTCACGGTGTATACTGATTACGGCGCCAAACTACAAATAATTTCATAATATGTTTATTATAATTTCTGTGGTTTTTTAAATTAATTCTGATATGAACATAAAAATGTTCAAAGTTAAAACCACGCCAGATCTATTGGATAATCAATTTCTAAATGTGGTGATCACGTGGTTCAATTTAGTGCAGCACACCACCTTGTATTTTGATTTTAGTGATAGTTGTATGTGTATTGCTATATTGTGGAAAGCATGTAGATAGAGGTTTAACAGTTAAATTTAAAATGAATTGTCTGCAGTGTTTATGGCAAAGCTACTTAGGCTATCAGCTACCATCTCTAATTTTGAACTGCAGTCCACAGCCAACATCACCTATTGCCGATTCTTTTACTCATAAAAAGTGGGATTGACTTTTAAATAATACCCCCCCTCCCTATATATATATGGCTGAATTGTTGAGTATGTTCAGTGTTAGGTTTCAAGTTGACACACAGATTATGAGTCTAGTACCCTAACCACCAGGCTCATAAAATCCATTTAAACTTATAATAATGCATTATTCGAATTGTGGGGAAAAGTTACTGTTATCTTCAGGTTACTTAAATCTCTTGTTGTATTCTTTTAGGGTAGTATTATACGAAGCAAACCCAACTGTTAAGTGTAACATTGTTAGTTTCATTATATGAAAAGTTATAAGACTTCTAAATTATTGAAATTAATTTACACTACTAGCCCACCATTATCATAGCCTTGTTTTACCAGATCTGGAGGGCATCATTGTATCTGAACAGTCACAGTTTTGATGAGAAATAAGTAACAAATCTTCTCACACCAAAAGGTTGTTAGCATATGAAAGAAGTTGTCAGCCAGCTTTATTATTTTCATTATTTTGCCTGTTACTTAATTCAATAATCACTTCAAAGAGAAAAGAAAAGAACTGAAAAAGGGATTGAGGTGTTGATTAGTTTACTCTCTTCTAACAGTCATATCTATATGTTGTTGATTTATGTTAGTTCATCAGTGTAATATCAAAGACTATCTAGTCTACTAACTTCAATACACAATTTTTACACAATAATTTTTTTGTTCATTTTTTTTTTCTAGTTATACTAGAGGAAATTCTTGCAGCTTTCAACCTCCCTGATAATATCAATAGGCTTGATGAAGCACGAGATAATGCTGGTAATGATATGTTGAAACACATGCAGTTAGTATTTCCTGTGGCAACACAGATTGAAATTGAAGTAATACAAAACTATGGGTTTCCATCAAATGGAGAAGGTTTGTTGCCTACTTTTTGATTTTGTTAACCTTTAGATTTTTTCAATGTTTTTTAAAACTTCAACCTATCAGAAATATTTTTATTAATTACATATACGTAGCTGAGTGACAGTTTTTAAGTATATTTTGTACAGTTTTTGTCTTTGTTTTAATAAGAATATGAAACTAAACCTTTATTATTCTCTTTAACATTTTTTGGTATGATAAAACATTAATAATTTACAGTCTGTCAAAAGATTTTAAATCGGAATTAAAAAATTAGTTTTTGCACAACATAAGCATTGAACAAGGTAGATTTCTGTCTCTGATATATATATATATATATATATTGGATCACTTCAGAGGTATCTTATTTGCAAGTGACTTGATTAGTTAGTATTTGGGCCCTACAGTCTTAATTAAGTGATTTAAACTGCTTTGAAACTTAAAATAGCAAAAGCAGATAAGAATTTGCTAATGAGTCATGTGTAAGATCCCTGCTTTCAGCTCTTGTACTTGTAGTCATATTTTTTGTCTTCACTATTACATACATAGATACATATTTGCTGGAGTTTTGAGTAGATGGTTAAGAAAACACATGAAGCACTGTAAACAGGATGAGGTGTGTTGTAACCCATCATACTTCATCTCTACAGGCATTAGATGTGCAGCTCATCCTTAATTTCTCACTTTTTAATGTATAGAAAGTTCCATAAATCATAACAGAAATAATACAGTAGTAATTCAAATGAAATTTTTAACTACCTAGTAAATAGTATTCAAGTTAGAATAATGAATTAGACAAAAAAGAGACTGATTTTTTTAACTTCAACATATAATTACTAGATTTTAAGAACTATCTTAATACAAAAGATAAATGACAAACTTGTTCTACATTTTAGCATTACATGTTTTTATGTATATACCACCTAGATGTGTGTGTGTGTGTGTATAATCACAAGGTAAACATTTTATTAAGAAACTTGCAATACTAAATTATTTTAATTAGCTGTAGTTGAATGCAGATATAATAGAAAAGCATGGAAAGGAATTTTACACAGCCAAGAAAAAATAAAATTGGTACATTATTGTCTTGTAGAAAGTAAAAATTGCACAAGGCTATCAACTATCCAATACATCACATTCACAGAATATACAAGTAGTCAAGTTGTTGCTTTTTAGTATTTCTGGAATTTGGCATACAAGTTAATAATATTCAAAGTACATAGTATGAACTATATTTAAAGAATATAAATATATATGATTTGTTTTATATTAAAAGTTTTAAAATTGAATAGTTGTACTCCACCTTCTGTTATAAAACATGGATTGTTTTGAAAGCCAAATTACTTTTGTAAACATTTAATTTATGATTTACAATGCTAAATAGCATTCTTGATAATGTTTTTTTTTTCATGAAAGCAAGGAATTTTTTACTCAGAGTTTATAAAAATAGATAACAACAGACACAAACACACTCACTGGTGTTCCATTTTGGACGTTTTTTTATAGAGGACTAACATTTCTAAAAAAATATCCAATAAAAAGGTGTAACTGTAAATATATCATAACTATTATTGCTCCAAAATTCAATATTCATACAATCAATGTATTTGTAAACACAGCGTAAAAAAAGTATACTCAAACCACAACATGGCACAAGCATATTGGTGATATTTCATATCTGTTTGGCCATTTCCTATTTTTCTGAAACCAGATTCTTTTTTGAGTGTTTGATATCTATAATTATGGTAATATGCTTTTCAATAATATCAGTTTTGATATAATATCTCTATATTTAAAATGATACAGGTTTAATTCAGTTTGCTCAAATGGTACGAACTTTGGAACAAAATCATCAAGAGATTGAACGACTAAATGCAGAACTTAGGACTTATTTTATTCCTCCAATGGTACCACCATCTCCTCCACAAAATTCCTCTGGATGATTCATCTGCAAGTTACAGAAGCTGTTTCTTTTGGAGAAGAATGTTCAGATCTTAGAGACATTTTATCTGAAGAGAATAATTTGGTTTAAAAGATTTGGATTTATAAAAAGATCAGAATAGGCACATTTTACAACCTTTACAGTTGTAATTGGAAGAAAAAAAGCCCCAAGTAAAACTTATTTGAAATCTTTTATATGCTGTAACAAAGTAGTACATTTTCAAAATCTTTTGCACTGTGAGAGTTGTAAAAAATGTATTAAAGTGGATAAGAGCAACACACTTTTGGCTTACCAATAAAAATGTATGAACTAAATTTCCAAGCCTTTTTAAAAATAAATGTTTATCAGATTAGGTTTAATTTTTTGCAAACTGCATTAGCCTAGTGTTTTGCATTAGGAAAACATTCTGACCTCAAATATTGAAACACCAGGTAAAAAATCATTTAAAATGTTGGTAGATGTTTCAGGCACTAGTGCAAAAGAAAACCCAAAACTATAAATCTTTTAAAACTTAATTTTCTTATAAAAGATAAATTATTCAATAAGTGATTTCTGGCTTCACAGAGAAAATGACAGTAGTTTACTAAATGGATTGGATCCCTTCCAGATCTGTAAAATAGTAAGTAAGTTATAGAGATGGGTAGAATGCAATTTGCTGAGCATTTTGCTGCAGTTAAAAATATTGAATAATGTATGGGTGAAGCAGCTTTGGGTGATAATGACCAACAACAAACACATCACCTCAATAACCCCCAACAGTGATTTATTTGTTTTGTTTTTTCTTCATGTTGGCTAGCTTCATCTCTTCTCCTGCTACCTGTTACTTCAATCTTTCAGGCATGGAAACAAAGAAATTCTCAATTCCAAAACCAACTGGGGAGTCTGAGGGCTCTGTCCCTGAGCAGAGTCAAGTGGCAGCTCCTGTTGTGGAAGTTAAAGGGGTATCCCCCACACAAAATAATTTTTTTTAAGAGGGTAAAAACAATGTTCTCCTAGTCAGAATTTTCCACAAAAAAATACATTAAAACAAGCTACCTTCTTAATCTTCTCAGTTCAGACTTAACTAAAGAATGACTAAATAAAAAATAAATATGAATGAATAAAAATACTTTATTGTTTAATAAACAAAGACTAATTTCAAATTACTGTCTAAGGCAAGATGTTGAAAAAGTTTTGTCCTGTTTCTGTTATTTAGGTATAGTACTGATGCAAAAGTTAATGATATAATAAACAGACACACTCCACTTAGCAGTATTTGTAGTGATTTTTAACATTATTGTGCATGTAAATACAACACAGTTGATTTTTAAGGTTATTTTATCAGACATATAAATTCATTTTCTCTTTTAATGAATTAGCATATTTCTGTTTCATATGTGTTCCATCCTGGCTTTCTTTAGCTGCGTTATCTGCTCTCTCTAGTGAGTACATGCTTTTGGTTTACTTCACGCTTTTCTCTTGTTTCCTGTTTTTCTATTTGTCAGGAACTTTTTTATATTACATATAGTAAGTTAAAGTATATGGGTGTGTTGGGCTAAAGATTTTTCTGCAGTAGGTGTCTGTGACTTGTTGGCGATAAACTCAATAAATAAATAAACAAACAAACAGCACACACTCCACTTGTTTTAATATATATATACATATATATATTTGGAACAAGTGAAACGTGTACAAAAAATCCCTACACTGTGGAGATCATAGTTATATATATTAAACACTATATAGTTCTCTTCTTCTTGTCAAAAGTCCACTTAGGCCTATTCAATTGCTTTATAATTCAGTTGATGAGCAAAACTATTGTTCTCTGTTTCTATTGCCAAACTATCCATGTATATCCAAACTTCTCCTTCCCGTGACTTTACCTTGCTCTGCTCTTTTTTTCATCGGCATGCTACTATCTATATGTCTGTTTCTTAGTCCGTCTAGAAATATCTATATCCTTGACATCAATGGATTATAAACACAATGTATGATTCTTACCAAGTTATGTAACCAAACTTGTCATAACTATCGCCTTTAAAATAATTGCTTTTAACTCTCTCATTATAAAAAATTAAACAATCATGAAATATTCACTCACAAAATAAATAAATTAATAATACTACCTACACTGGTCTTTTATATCTGACACTATCTTTCTTTTCAGCTGTTCAACTTTCCTATCTTTGCTGCAATCTGCATGCAGTTTAAGTCTTGGGCAAATAGGGTCACACAAATTTTCTTTCCTTTCAGAATATTTAACAGCCCCACCTTTTCACAGCCCTATTTAACAGGTGATGTGATCTTCCTTACCACCTGGTCTCTATTGTTCAATTTCTTATGTAACTGCTCATCGTGTTAATGTAACATTTTGAACACATATACATGTATTTCTTATTGAAATTCAGTATTGTAACTTTTTCTCTCCCCGTTTGCTTTACTAAGCAGCTTTTATTTTCCTACACTAAACTGCCACTAGGAAAAATAATTAAACCAAGTTCAAATTAACTATTTTGTACCAACTTATAAATGCAGATTTATACAAATTTAAGCAATAAAGTTAGAAAAACAACCTTAATACTACAAATAATAAAAACAAAATTTTCTTTCAGTCAATGTTTCACTATTCTACTACTAGTTTTGATGAAATGGTAATATTGAGCTGTTGGCCAAAATATTTTTTTTTATTATTGTAATCTGGAAAGCAAAGGTAATTTTTTTCTAACTTTATTGCCAAAATGTCTAAATTCCTCCAGTATACACTACAAGTTCTGAAAAATAAAATATTTAAGCATTATTTATTGTGAGATTACGACTTACTAATGTATTTGTGTAAACAGATTTTTACTACACATTGCTCTTGAATTAAATATGATTTTTGTGTACTAGTTACAAAACTCCTGACTTAATATGTTGAAAGTTACATGAAATGTTGTAATGTTAATGTCACATTTAAAATAAATTTTAAATCCAATTATGGAATAATAATTTTTACATAATATATAGGATCAGAGAAAAATTAGTTATTGAAAATATATAATGTTATAGTAATAATTTTAACAAAAATCATGTCATTACTTTGATCCTTTACTCATAATTAAAGATCAGGAAAATTAAGTTCTTTACGACTTTTACTTAATTCTTAACTTAATTCTTTAAGTATAACATGTCACTTGTGTACACAAAATATTTGAGTTTAAAGGTTTAATATTATAGATCAATGGAAGTTACCTGGTTGTAATGTATGTTTAATAATCTAGCAATAGTTAGCATGTTATTTCAGTTTAATAGGGTTTATTCACTTCACGCTATTAAGTCTTCTCAGATATGTTGTATAAGCTACTTAATAAACACACCATGTTTTTTTATTCTTATTTATTTTTTTCCTTGCCTATATATGATAGTTTGCTCCTGAAGAAAACTGAAAAAAATATAGTTTTGTAAGAAGTTGTTTGAAACTGGAAAGATAAGAAATAGGTACTTTAACATTTATAAAGGTTAAGATTTAATAATCATAAGATTTTGGCAATTTCAGAACAACATAAATATTATATACTTTTCATTATTGCTTAAAGTTTGAATCGTACATAATGTATGAAGTTTTGAAACATGGTTTTATCAACACTAAATAGCTTAAAATTACATATGTACCATAAACAAATATCTACCAGATGGCAGTGTGCTACTTTTCTTCATGTAAGAATGCAAAACTACAAGTGTAATCTTTATCAAAAACACAGACTACAAAGTGAAAATAGGCTTGATATTCTTACATTCAATGAAAGTAAACAAGAGAGTTAAGTGTGGTTACAATAATTAAAATAACACCTTTATTACAACATTTGAAATATTTAATATTCAATCTGTAGCAAATTTTTTTTTATTCAGCATGCTGTATTGTTAAAGTTAATACTCTATGATACCCTCTCTGCAAATGACTATGTGAAGTGCTTATGATGTAAGAAGTGTGGTGTAAGATAAGTGAGAGTTGAATGAACACATGAAAGACCATATTTGGAGAAAAAGAGGCATTGCTATTACATCATTAGAAGAAACAGGTGACAAGTTTTAAATACACATGACCCATTACATCTTACCCTAGGGTATTCCATAAATTCATATATAGTATGCTCCAGGCTATGCCATAGATTGTCTGGGGTATTGGGGAATAATAATTGCCAAATCCAGTGACACCTCAAGGAGAATCCTCAGTAATCAGAAATAATAGAAATAGACAAAAACTCCTGATGCCCCAGTGCATGGTGTAACACATCAACTGTCCATTCAACATACTAACCCTGTTTCACAATTCTAAGTTGTTTTTATCACATATTTTATTTTTTCTGAGCACAGCTTAAAAACTTATTTTTAAATCACAGTACTATTGTATGACAAACAATATGGTTATTAGTTTTACCACTGATATTGTAATATTTTTTAATATAACTGCAAATCAAAATAAGTTCTTATTTCTCAAAGTAACAAAAATTATAGACATTCTTAAAATAAGGATTACTTAAAATTAAATTTTATTCGAACCAGGTATCTCATTTTTATCTGGTTTACATTATACACCACATATTCATTGTAGTTAAGTGTGTATCCTTGTGGGTTTTCAATGTTTTTCTGAATGCTCTTTCCCAGTGGCACTCTTGTACCGTCGCTCCTAAAGAACATAAATAGTCAAAAAAATAACACGTCAATGTCTAAAACAATAAAGTAGCAATTTGTTCAAAAATATAACTATTAAGTAAATTAGTTAAAATCAAACACATGGTAAATTCAGGTTAACAATTTTAAAACACTGCAGTGCTTCTGTTTTAATAAGTGTCATTGCACTAGCACACATCCACAAATACTATTTCATGATTGGTTTTTTAAGGCCCTCATCAGTATATGATGTGACACCTGCTATTTTTGCAGATGTCAGGAGATACATTAAAAGAATGAAACAGTATACGATATTATTAGATTTACTGAAAATAATTCGTGGCTCACATTTTTGTTTCTGACAACATGGTAACTATAACCTCTGGTGACCCCATTGCTATGAAGGTGCTAAGTGCATTGATTGACCTGGTAATCTGATATGTGTGAACTACATTTTTGTCTGTTGTATTATAATTCATCAAAAACATTTTATTGAAAATGACAATTTTTAATCACATAGTCAGTATGTGCTGCATGAAGGTGAAATTGTAATGTTCAACCATATGATTTTGCTCTTTTTGAAAACAAAAATTAAATGTGAATCCATTTGTTACTTGATGCATACCTCTTTGAAACTAAATCCTCAACTGGGAAAAACACACTAATAGTCCCCATCCATTTTTCAAACATGAAGCACTGACATTGCGTGTACAAAGAAATTTAAGATTCCTCCTCAGTGAAGAAAATCAACCCAAAGTTAAAAATAAATTGAATGTAAATAACATTGAAATAAGAAAAAAACATTCTTAATGTTTCAATCAAATATCCACATTATATCTCACCGTCATTCTAATTTAGATTTAAGAGTCCTTATACTACCAGGATTAGGTAACAAGCAACTTTCTGTATGCTGGTTAAACCTACTTTAAAAATGATAGTCAAGCTTCAAAAAATTAAAAAAATGTAATAAAACAATCCAAAAAAGAATATTTGTTAATTTCTCATTTGTTTATAAAAAAAAACATTTTAAACATAACCTGAAGCCTATACAAGACATATGACAATTTATTTTAGTACAACACAGGAAGTTATTTCATAAATGCTAGATGTCATTGCAAAGACATTACCAATTTCATTACATTACCAAACATTTGTAAATCAATTATGTATGTCATAAGACAACAGTATTAGGCTTATTGTATGTTTTTAAGCACTACGTTAATATTCTTTGGTCCCTTGGAGTCTTTATGAGAAAAGTGCATAATAGTATTTCAACTACACCATGTTCACCATACCCACTGCTGACAAGCATTTTGCTCAATACAAGAGCTCACTGAGCCAGCTGGGATACAATAAAATAGTAGTGGTCAGAATATTAGTTACATATCAGAATAACAATTGTTATTGTCTAATGAAAGGTTCAAATAAAAACAAATGGGCAGTTCTCATATGAGGACCATCAGAAATATTTGGGTTTGCACTGAGATAAACATACAACTGTAACACATAAAAAACACTACTAGTCTAAATTGTCTTATGTTTACTCACACTTTTGTAGTATTAATTAATAGAAAAATAGATGCTAGAACTTAATTTGAACACACTGTAACAGTGAAGCCCTCTGTAAATAAGCACACCACATTAATTTTTTTGTTTAAACAAGTTGTGGTCCTCAAAAGCACTCATACCTGAACAGAGTTAGTCCAGATTTTATTTGAATCCCCGTGTACATTAGATTCAGACTTGGATAAAAATGTTATCGTTATAAAACAGGCTGTTCCTCAAAGTCAATATGATAGAAGCCAAGGTTTTTTATTTATATATTTATCATATAAGAATTTAATAAATAAAAATTCTAATAAATACTTTTTGCATTACATGAGCTGCAATATCCAAATTTTGCACTGCTCTTCAATCACCTTAATACATACTCAAATCAGTATTTATTACATGTTTGCCATACTCACAGAAAAAGGTCTTCTTGGGGATCAGGGATGACTCTGCCCTGACCCATTACACTATGTGTTCCTGGTGGAAGTTTATCTGCACTGTTATCAGCTGCTACTAATTTATTACATGTTCCCAGTGCCACCTACATTTTAACAGAAAAATTATTTCTTAATTAAAAACATCATTCTATTTATTACTGCCCCCATTCCAAGAAAAAAAAAAGGTTTTGGCTTCACCTCTATTCTAAATAGTGTATAGCTAATTCAACATCAATAGAAGAAACCTAATGGATAATTCAATAACTGGTGCCCCCAATTTTTCACACTTGAAACTACATACCAGTAACCTCAAAATAATGCAAAAAAATAGTATACAGAAGCACCTTCAAATATTGACCACAAAAGCTTAGATCAAAAGTATTTTTCCTAAAGTTCTCATTATGTTTTTCATCTCACCTGTGTTCTTTTAACAGAGATAGTGAAAAAAAAGGGGGGCACACACTCTTAAGATTAATCTTTGCTCACTAATAAAGATTGTATATGTTTAGAATTTCCACATGAACTTTTTGAACTGGAAAATTTATTATACCTTTGGTTGAACAGTCCTTTGCTGTAATCATTCAATTTAGTTTGTATCATACTTTATGGCAAATATATCAAAAGGTAGAAAATCTGGTACCTGTAGTTACCCAGATAGTATTAATAGCAGTAATAACTAGCTTAATTAGGTTTAGGTTTTGTTTCATTGAATTTTGATAAAGGCTTATTGCTACATAAACTAACCTTACATAAATAAAATTAGGTCACTGCTGCTTTATTTTCTATACTTCCTTTCATTACATTTATAACACCTTGGGGCCAATTATGTTACACGTAAGCTCAAAACACACTGTTTTCATCTTAAGCCATCTAGTGATAAAGAAAGCTTAAAATTATCAGTTAGATTTACTGATGATGAATCAGTTTTTCTAACTACACTATTAATACAAAACGTCCAAGCTCACTTCACATAACTATAGTAATCCACAGCCCTTTCATATACCATTTTAGACTTCTGATAAAAACTTCAACCTTACCTCACAAAGTAAAAGTAGCCCTTCATTCTTTGTTCTTGTGGCATAACAGTAATTGGCACTCTTGCTTGACATATCAGCAAAGTAGACACCTTTCCCAAACATGTAGCCAGTGACAGGAGCTTCTGGTGGAGCCACTCGTAACCCTAGTTTCAATATTCCTGCCCAGTTTGTGATCCTCGAACCATGCCACAGCAAAATTTTATTTCCGACATCTTGGAATTTTTTCTCCTCACCTTCTTTCTGACACTTGAATACACTGTCTATTTCTAACTTGTACATGTTATGTGTTTTAGCATGAGTGTTCTGCAAGTAAGTCTCCACAACCTACAGAACCAGAAATCATGCAATATTACCAATACTATAAAGTATCATAAAATTTCAATTTAAAATAACCTTTGAACGGCTGTTTCTTTAGATAGCTGTTATGTGTACAGAATAACCTGGTCATTACTTAATTATCTTTGTTCATAAATGATACTCCTAATTTTAGTAAACAAGATGAATCCTCAATAGCCACAGCACTTGAAATTCTTTTAGGCAGGATTAGAGTAAATTAATTTATGAGACCTTTTTATTAGCTATATTTCTGTGCACCAGCAATAACAAGCATGGGGCATGCATATACCCAATTCAATTTTATTACTCATCAGGATCTCTACCAGCCTACCCACAAATTGAAATTCTTTTAGACAGGATTAGGGTAAATTAATCTGTGAGACCTTGGGCGTGGTCAAAGGCATCAATCGAAAGTGTTTGACCTCCTGGGTTCAAAACTGTAATTATATCTCAAATGAGTCTAGAGATGATGGAGCTATGAGCTAAAAGTTTGTACTTGAAAAAAACTCAGAGTCATTCTATGAGCCACCATGCCTTGGCTAAAAACTATTAATCATAACATGTATGAAAAAAAAAAGGATTTATGGAATATCTATGGGGTTTTGAGTTCATTTTATTTCACATTAAACTGTTATGAAATAGTTACTTATAAAAATACAGCTAATGTTTATAAAATTTATATCCTTACCTTGTAGTCATCACTCTCAGGATTAAGTGGCTCCAAATCACATTGTAAAGAATGATAATGACGATCAAGAGGGTGTTCATCATCTTCGATTTCTTCTTGTAACATCTTTATTGCCACTTGGATATCTCCTAATGTCTGAAGTAAAGGTTAACCACTAATATTTCAAAATGGTTCAAGTTTAATGTTAGGATTACATTTTCAAATAGACGAACCACCAAAAGTAGTCAGTCTGTCTATATGTTTAGTTAGAAAAATTATTACTTATCAAAAATAAATAAGAGCAAATGGAAAACGCTATGAATTAATTTTCAGATGATAAAATTTCAGGACAAGGTCCTTCATCAGGTATTACTTAACCCGATGACTACCGGCTACTAACTTTCTTAGTAGGCAATGCAAGTTTTGCTATATTTCATTCCAACAATAAAACTAATGGACGAATATTTTCGAAAATTCATAAATACTTTGAAAAATGTAGGTAGTTTAAGAAACATAAAGCCTATTACTTCTAATAAATTTAGTTTTTTT